ACACAGCAAAACATAAAATAAAGTAAAATAAAAATATAGATACAAATGGAAGAAGATAATAACTATGTGGCTAACACTGTAGAGTACAGACAGGTTAAGAACAAATCAAACAGTGTCAAAAGCCAGGGAATAAAAGTGGGTTTTTAAGCGAGATTTAAAAACAGTGGGAGAAGCGGCCTGCCTGACACGCAGTGGCAGCTCATTCCACAGTCTTGGATCTGCAACAGAGAAAGCCCTGTCACCTCTGAGTTTACGACAGGTTCCTGAAACTGAAAGAAGCATCTGATTCACTGACCTCAGAGAGTGCGGTGGGACATATGGCTGCAGCAGATCAGTGAGATAAAAGGGGGCAGAACTGTTCAGTGATTTAAAAACGTACAAAAGAATTTGGAACTGCATTCGAAAGTAAACCGGGAGGCAGTGCAGGGAGGCCAAAACTGGTGTAATGTGCTCTCTTTTGCCTGCACTGGTTAAAAATCGGGCTGCAGAATTTTGGACCAGTTGTAGTCATGCAATGGAGGATGGAATGATACTAAACAGAAGCACATTGCAGTAATCGAGCCTGGATGTTATGAACACGTATTCACATGTAGTCTCAAGGTTATTCTTGGACAGTATGGGCTTCAGTTTAGACAGTCGCCTCAAGTGAAAAAAAAAAGAGGATTTAACAATCATGTTTACGTCTCCCTTTGCAGGTGTTTAGGTATGTCCCACTGACAAGAGGCTCTCGGGGCAGTCGCAGAACTCCCTGGAGGGATTGTGTATCTTCTCTGGCCTAGGAACACCTCTGAGTCCCCCAGGAGGAGCTGGACAGTGTCGCTGGGGAGGAGGTGGTCTGGGTTTCTCTCCTGAACCTATTGCCTCCATGACATGATTACAGATAAAGAAGATGAAGGTAGAGGTGATTTACAGTTTGCAAAGTGAATCTGTAGTGTTACCAAAATATCTCATGTTACCACAGACGTGAATCTGATGGACATCTACAACAGATTCATTTTTGGAGTTAACCCTGTGCAAGATTGCCATGACATCTAATTCATGCTGCACAACACAAAAACAGCTATAACCCAGTCAGTTTTATAGAAACTGAGCTAAAACTTAGTGCGCCCATAGCTGAGAGTTGTTTACAATACATAATCTGAACAACTTCTGAGATTACAGATTACATGCATTCCTTCAACAAATCACAAGCCTTTTTTATGTCTTGCATGTCTTCATCAGCTTGATAAAAATTACACCGTAAATGAGAAAACTCTGCGTCCAACAACAAGCCTCATTCATCACATAATATTAATCTGAAAGGACAACTTTATGCAAAATGACACCATGGAAACAAGCGCTGCAGTTGTTGCTCCAGTTCTATCCACATCCGTTCAAAGCATGTCTCGTTTGACAACTTTTCTATGATTAATGACTCTTCTGGGCTCATGGTGTGTGAGTGTGTGTGTGAGTGAGAGAGAAACGAGAGTGACAGAAACATGAACGGGCTCATTATCAGAACACGGGGATGTAACCCGGCCCGTTAAGTCATATGATTTGTTGTCATTACCAGAAAACTGTCGATTTAAGTTTTGTTGCCACAGAATCAAACTCACAATAAAACGGAAGCTCTCTCTCCATGGACTGGGTCAAAAATCAACACTTTTGTGGCCCAGCTTCTGAGTTCTGGCTGTGGTCGTTGTGCTCATGAAAAAGAGCCTTTACCAAGTCCCTTATTTTAAAATGCAAAGGGTGTTAGCAAGTGTGGAGGTGGGGCTTCAACATACATAAGAGGGAAAGGGAGCCCACTGGTCCAATTTGACTCCACATCACCAAACAATTTGCTGTTGCTGAAATTTTACAAGGCAGCTGATTGGACCTTTTCTCTTCATCGTCTACTGGGGCTCGGTCCAAACGAATCCTTTTGGCTTGGCCATCTTTGGAGGAAACTTAGTGCATTAGTGATGAGTAGGTTCCTCATAACTGAACCTTTGTCTTGGCTGTCGGATATAGACAATGTGACAGGGGGCCAGTCATACAACTTGGTTCTACAGCCTGTTTGGGACTACCTCCATCAAAACCACCATGACTTGCTAAGGAGTCCTCTCTTCCCTGTGGTCCTCTCAGTCACCACATACTTTGTCCTGGTTGGTATCTACACCATGCTGGACCTGCTGGCTCCTACCTGGCCTTGCATCAATCGTTACCGACTGCACCCAGACCGACCTGTCACCTGGCCAAACATCTGGAACACCCTGGGTGTCACCATGTACAACCATCTGTTTTTCATCTTCCCTGCTGCTGTGGCACAGTGGCTGTGGAGGCCACCGACCCCTCTGCCCACTGAAGCACCAACTCTCTGGAGCTTCTTCCTGGGCATCCTGGGCTGCATGGTTGTCTTTGATTTCCAGTACTACCTCTGGCACCTCCTGCACCATCGAGTTCCTTGGCTGTACCGCACCTTCCACGCCGTGCACCACCAGTACAACCAGCCCTTCAGTCTGGTCACGCAGTATCTGTCTGGCTGGGAGTTGTTCAGTGTGGGGTTCTGGGCCACGGTGGACCCCATCTTGCTGCAGTGTCATTGCCTCACAACATGGACTTTCATGGTCTTCAATGTGTATGTTTCTACAGAGGACCACTGTGGCTATGACTTCCCCTGGGCTACACATAAGCTGGTGCCCTTTGGCCTTTGGGGTGGTGCCCCCAAGCACGATGCTCACCACCAGCGTCCTGGGACCAACTTTGCCCCCTTCTTCTCGCACTGGGACTGGCTGGGGGGAACCCACACAGTGACAACTCCCTCCAGCTCAAATCTGGGCGAGCCAGACAAGAGGAAAGACTGAAGAACCTGAATGGATCGCTCCGGCTGACTCTGTCTCTCATTTAACCTGCTTCTTCTGGACCTGCACACATTCCATCACACTTCTTCTTTTCTCCTAAAGACAAATTTTTATTTTTTCTCCCGTTTTTCTTTTAAGTTTGATATTATTTGTAAGTTGGACATTATTTGTACCAACACCATTTTCTGGTGTTTCCCTCTGCTGATAATCCATCTAACATGTCTAAACTGACAAGGTGACAATTACTAAAAAGAAAGGTTCTGGTGCCTGTTTATGGACTGTTGCACATGTACACTCTGCTCTAATAATTCTCACTTATTTTATTGTATTGATGCATTCTTACCTGTCCTTGTGGCATTCTCAGGTCTTAACACATGTAAAATATTTTCCTCTTGTTGGAAAAAAAAAAAAAAAAGACTGGAGCTGTGTGTTGATGACCTTCATTGAGCTACAGTGTGTGGTGCGTCAGTGATGTTAGCACGGACACTCTCCCCCTCTGTCTGCTCAGGTGTTGACCCTCCAACTTGCATGCATGAATGGTGGTCTTTTAGCAGCATCCCAGCACTATGCGTGGGTGCAATGCTAATCCATGGATCTGCCTTTGACACTATGAGTTTTATTTATTTACTCAAAAGAAAACTTCATTGAAACTTAAAGTTCACACCTGTACAAAAAAACATTTTACTTTATGTATGTATGTATGTATGTATGTATGTATGTATGTATGTATGTATGTATGCATGTATGTATGTATGAATGTATGAATGCAAGCATGCATGCCTGTATATATGCATGTATGTATGCATGTATGTATGTATGTCTGTAAGTATGTCTGTAAGTATGTATGTATGCATGTATGTATGTATGTATGCATGCTGATAACTATGTTTACATTAAATACACTCCCTCGGTATACCAAAAAAACCCCACTTAAAGTAACTTTTAAATAAGACACTGATACCTGATTTAATTTTAAAAGACAGTTTTAGTAAGAACAAAATATGTAAATAGAATAACTAATTGGTGTCACAAATAAAAACAAAAACAACTTTTTACAGTACTTTCAGTTCTATTGATTTAACCCTAATTGTTGCAGTCCATATTACCCCTTAATATTTCAGGTAAGGCTTTTCAAACATAAAATTCAACCCCAAAATAACCCATTGTAAGCCTGAATCGATGCTTGGGTGTGTGGGAGCTAAAAACAAACAGCTCGTTCGCTGAGTAAATAAAATAATAAGCGCGTGCATTGGTTTAGTTTTGTACTCACAAATCCTTCAAAGTTTCAGACTGGCTCGGGAACGGTAGATTTAGTGATCTCTTTAATATGGCACTGCGTAAGGTAAGTAGGCAGGTGACGTCACACGAACACCGAGGTCCTTCCTGGCAGCAACCTCACAGATGGGAATCCAAACAGCTGAATGGAAAACTTCTAACTCTTCCAGGTCCAAAGATTAGCTCCTTGTCCATTTTCATATGCTTCTCAAAGTCTGCTACAGTTGGCAACTCTGCATTAACCGTTGTAATGGATAGCTTTACTCTGTCCCATGTCTGCATCACTGTGCTCTCTGCCTTGTCTGGTTTTTCACACTGACACACGTTTCATGCAGCGTACCATTAATCCTGACCACTCCCATCAAATTTTTTTTTTTTTGGGGGGGGGGGGGGGGGAGGGAGGAGCACAACAAAACCGAGCAAGATTGACACTTAGCACAATTCAAATAGGTTGCGAAACTGCCACATGTCACCATGTGCAACACTCAAATGAACGTTTATGTAACATTCAAGGAACAAAGTAAAAATGACAACTGCCTGTTTCAGTCTGCTTAAACTACAGGTCCTTCTCAAAAAATTAGCATATTGTGATAAAGGTCATTATTTTCCATAATGTAATGATAAAAATGAAACTTTCATGTATTTCAGATTCATTGCACACCAACTGAAATATTTCAGGTCTTCAATTGTTTTAATACTGATGATTATAACATACAGCTCATGAAAACCCAAAATGCCTGTCCCAAAAAATTATCATATTTCAGCCCACTAATGAAAGACAAGTGTTTTAATACAAAAAACACCAACCTTCAAATAATCATGTTCAGTTATGCACTCAATACTTGGTCGGGAATCCTTTTGCATGAATGACTGCTTCAATGCGGCGTGGCATGGCGACAACCAGCCTGTGGCACTGCTGAGGTGTTATGGAGGCCCAGGATGCTTCGATAGCGGCCTTAAGCTCATCCAGAGTGTTGGGTCTTGCATCTCTCGACTTTCTCTTCACAATATCCCACAGGTTCTCTATGGGGTTCAGGTCAGGAGAGTTGGCAGGCCAATTGAGCACAGTAATACCATGGTCAGTAAACCATTTACCAGTGGTTTTGGCACTGTGAGCAGGTGCCAGGTCATGCTGAAAAATGAAATTTTCATCTCCATAAAGCTTTTCAGCAGATGGAAGCATGAAGTGCTCCAAAATCTCCTGATAGCTAGCTGCATTGACCCTGCGCTTGATAAAACACAGTGGACCAACACCAGCAGCTGACATGGTACCCCAGTGACTGTGGAAACTTGACACTGGACCTCAAGCAATGTGAATTCTGTGTCTCCTCTCTTCCTCCAGACTCTGGGACCTTGATTTCCAAAGGAAATGCAAAATTTACTGTAATCAGAGAACATAACTTTGGACCACTCAGCAGCAGTCCCAGGCAAGATGCTTCTGACGCAGTCTCTTGTTCAAAAGTGGCTTGACCTGGGGAATGCGGCACCTGTACCCCATTTCCTGCACACGCCTGTGCACGGTGGCTCTGGATGTTTCTACTCCAGACTCAGTCCACTGCTTCCGCAGGTCCCCCAAGGTCTGGAATCGGCCCTTCTCCACAATCCTCCTCAGGGTCCGGTCACCTCTTCTCGTTGTGCAGCGTTTTCTGCCACACTTTTCCCTTCCCACAGACTTCCCACTGAGGTGCCTTGATACAGCACTCTGGGAACAGCCTATTCGTTCAGCAATTTCTTTCTGTGTCTTACCCTCTTGCTTGAGGGTGTCAATGATGGCCTTCTGGACAGCAGTCAGGTCGGCAGTCTTACCCATGATTGCGGTTTTGAGTAATGAACAAGGCTGGGAGTTTTTAAAAGCCTCAGGAATCTTTTGCAGGTGTTTAGAATTACGTCGTTGATTTAGATGGTTAGGTTAATAGCTTGTTCAGAGAACCTTTTCATGATACGCTAATTTTTTGAGACAGGCATTTTGGGTTTTCATGAGCTGTATGCCATAATCATCAGTATTAAAACAATTAAAGACCTGAAATATTTCAGTTGGTGTGCAATGAATCTGAAATATATGAAAGTTTCATTTTTATCATTACATTATGGAAAATAATGACCTTTATCACAATATGCTAATTTTATGAGAAGGACCTGTAGATTTTCCTGATCAAATATGAACTGTTTTTTTTAAATGATACCATATGTATGTATGTATGAACTGTTCCCTCATATAATACTGTTTACATCTAAACATGTCAACCAGCAGAGGGCATTCTTTCTGCAAATACAAAATGGGCAAGTTTGGACAGATTGAAGACTGGATACAATCTAAACTGAAAGACTAGCATGCCTTGAATGAATTCACATCTCCTGCTGCCTTTAACACAAGACTTTTAGAGTATGATGATCTTATATTGAGAAGGAACAGAGTTACAGCTGCTTTGGTCAAACCTTGTAAATGATGTCAGGAACCAACTCGGGGGATGTTGTCAGATCTTGTGAGATGTATTTGCAATCAATGAACATCACAGGAAAGACTGTCATCACTACCACACAAGGTTTAACTCAACATCTGTAAAACAAAGAGTCAGAGCTACTTTTGTGTTTGCCAAGTTTGCTCAGATGGGACAACCATCATGAAAGTCATTAATTTAGTTGATGCTCCTTCAGTGATTACTTTCAATCCTTCCACTGGTTCATGAGATATTTTGCTAACAATACATAATATCGCTGCTTCACATCGGGCGGCAGGAGATAACAATCTGACTTTACGACTTATTCTGACACACAGGACAGAAAATGACTCATGGAGCAGAAAGTGATGTTTATGTGATGGAAACAGACGGCTGTTCGTTTCTGACCGGCAGAGACTGGAGTCAGAACTGGTTTGGCTTGTTTCTGATTCAGAGGAAACTGAACGTCACTCTGTTTGAGGACTCCAATATTCCCCACACACCAGTCTGTTCCACAAGCAGCCTAACCACTGAGCTACAGCTGCCCCAAAAGGGTTAGCTAGAAAGTAATTGGAGCAAAAAGCTAGCTAAAAACTGGAAATGTTTAGCTAAGTGGTAACAAAAGACAAGCAAAACGCTAGATGTAGTTTGTTGAAGCACATTTTAAATGTATTTTTTATTTATTTAGTATTATTTAGGATCTCACTGAGACATTTTATTATTATTATTATTATTTACAATAATAAATAGAATTTTTTTGATTGAACTGAAACACCGGTCCGGGGGCCTTTCTGGGTGGAGTTTGCATGTTCTCTCCGTGCATGCGTGGGTTTTCTCCGGGTGCTCCAGTTTCCAACCACAGACCAAAAACATGCATGGTAGACTTATTAGTAACTGTAAATTGTCCGTAGGTGTGAGTGAGAGAGTGACTTGCGACCTGTCCAGGGGGTACCCCGGCCCTCGCACAGTGATTGCTGGACATGGGCACCAGCGACCCCCGTGACCCAAAATGGAAGAAGCGGGTAAAGATAATGGATGGATGGATGAACTGAAACGATCTCAGTGTATTTCTATAAGGAAAATATATGTAAATAAAGTTTAAAAATGTACTAGTTGTAACAACCAGAAGCCACGCCCCCTTCATGAATGAGCCAAATGACAGCTACAATAGCAGTGTGCAGAACTAATTAGAGATAAAAATTTAAAAAACGCACTAACAGGTAAAAGAAAAACCGCAACAATAGTGTGAACGCTGAAACAGCAGGAACTTTCTAATCAGTTTGACTTTCCCATCAAAATATTTCAAACATCTTGTAAAACAAAGGTCTGAAAGGATTATTGGTGATGAATGAACTCTTTGTTTGGTTCAGTTTTCTCTCTCAGGTGTTTGTGTAACAGGGCGTGGCCCGGCTCTGATCAAACTCGTTTTCTACCTGGAACACAAAGGTAAGGAGACACTCAGCAACCGTCCATTGTTCAAACCCCAGTCAGCCGTTAGCTGACCTGTGCATGGGGGAGATGGAGGTCTGTGGGTGGAGTTATTTATTATTTATTAATATTTATTTAACCAGCTAAATCCCATTGAGATCACAGATCAGGGAGGTCTGGGCCTGAAGGCAGACTAACATGCATGTTTTTGTTCTGTGGGAGGACCCGGTGGAAACCCACACATGCACGAAGAGAACGTGCAAATCCACAGTTAAGTGTTGAAGCGCAGCCCTTCAGCTGCTCCTTATCTCTGAGGGACGAGAGCACAAAGCCCAGTCACTTTCTTTAAATCCTTTGTGTTGACTCTCCCCCAACACTGAAGTCCTTCAGGCTGACGGTAACGTCCGTCACTAAAATATTCCACGAACTAAAGAATTTAAAGAGAACTTGCAGAAAGTAATCATTGATCTGACATCTGCAGATGGTTAACTGTTGGAGCTTCAGCCAGCTGAGCTGAACAGAAACAGACTTAAACTGGTGTGGGAGCTGAGATCACTTACAACAGGGCTGTTCAACTGGCGCCCGTGGGTGACATCAGGCCCGCCCACCAATGAGTTCATAAAAAAATAAATACATTTTTTTTTTTAAGTTCTGGGTTTGGGTTCTATTTATTGATTCAATGCAAGAAAATAAACACATTTAAAGAGATTATAAAACTTGGTTTATTGACTTAATGACTTGAACTGCTGGATGTCAGTAACTGTGGCCCCTGAGCAGTTTAGCGGAACAGCCGTGCTCTACAACCACCTTCAGTGTCTCATCTCAGTTTCCAACATGATCTTAAACTAAAACGCTGACATGAAAGGTGGCGGGCGACGTGCAACACTAAGCCTTTAATCAGAGCATATATTGCTAGAGAGCTCAACTAAAAATAAAACTGTAACCTGAGCTGTCGAAGGGAAAGGTGTGAGGCTCCCAACACTGCTGCTGAAACTCCAGATAGCACTTCAGATGCAGGTGAAACTGGTTTCAACACTGAAACCAGTGAGACGATGACTTGTCTGAAACACGCCCCGTTAGCTCAGCATTCCTTAAACCAGTCTGTTGTGTGTCATCACCACATGCTACTTTTATTCACACCACGTTTCTGTGCACTTTGTTCCGTTAAACGTTAACACGTTCCAGTTTCCTCACATCTCCACAGGAGTCAATAATTCACGTTTATGACGAGAAATTATACTTTCTAACAGTTTCTGTTGCTATTTATTGAAAAACATATGTAATATCAGCTCACTTTCAAACATGTGTAACACAAGAAGCTTTAAACGAACGACTGGTTATAAGAACGTCATAAAAGCAGAAACATATATACAAACGTTTTAATAAAAAAATAAATATTTCCTCATAAATGCTTTTAGTCCCTCGGTTGAATAATGTGCCTGTACAGATTCAGTTTCTGAAGTAATCGTCAGTTTGTTTGTTTCTTGAGGGGGATGCCGTTTGTTTTTTGTCGAAAAAGCAACAATAACCTGAACAATGTCCGACCAACAGCACTCAGATGTGACCCATCCCATCAAACCGAGGAGTACTGTAGTTTACTGTGACTTCTACCAGCCGGGACATCCTGTTTATCTAAATATGGTTTCAGGTTTCCTCTTTCAAATGACGTCAAGGAACCCTCATCAGAACATACCGTACTAAAAACAGCATTCGGACCCATTTTTCTGGACTCTTCTCATTAAGCAAGACAAATCAAACTCATGACTGCACGATGATCCAGGTACTGAACTGTAGCTTAACGCCAGGAATCTGAAAGTTGGACAAAATATAATTGAATCCCCGATTTGACGCGATGGGTCACATGTCAGTCATTTACAGTGCGGCATTTAACACCAAAAGTTCCAGTGGCTCAGAACGAGGCCACGCTTGTAACAAGCTGCAGTCTTCTTCACATTTAACGTTTGTTCTTTGGTTCCCTGCTGAGCTGCGTTGGCCCGAGTCTGTCCCAGTTCCACCAGGTCCGCCCAACCCTGAGTGAAAACTAACTCCCGTCTAAATGGTGCTGCTCTCCGTGTTCCTGGAGTTGGACACAAATGACTTGCTCTTCTTGGAGTATTTCATGGAACTGAAGGAAACCCTCATCCTCTCTACCGTCCGGCTGCTCCGGCACAGCAGGGTGTTCTTCACGTGGTCTCTGAAGTCGTCCGACACAAAGTAGTACATGAACGGGTCCAGGATGCTGTTGAGGCTCGCCAAGCACAGCGTGGTGATGTAGAAGCCATACCCGTTATCCAACTGTTTGTTCTTAACCAGGGTGTAGTGAACCACCAGCATGATATTGCTGGGTAGAAAACAAACCAGAAACGTCACCAGGACCATCACGATCAACACCACGGCTTTGTGCCGGTTCTTCCCCGCCGTGCTCTCCTCCATGCTTTCCCCCAGAGCTTTGAGCAATCGGATGTACGCCACAAGAATCACGATGCAAGGGACGAAGAAAACAAACGTAGCCATGAAGATGAAGTAGAAGAACGGGAGCCGGACCGATTCAGATAGGAATGGGTCACCGAGGTCCTTGATGACGCTGACATCATGGCAGGTGGTGATGTTGGGATCTTTGACCTTGGCCGTGTGATCATACAAGTACAGGGGAGTCGTGGTGAGCCAAATGAACGCCCAGATGGCCACCGTGACACCAACAGCAACCTTGTTGTTCTTTCGATGTCTTGACAGAGGGTGCGCCACCACCCAGTACCTCTGCACACTGAGGCAGGTAATGAACAGGATCGAACTGTACATGTTCCCGTAGAAAAAACTAACCAGGACTTTGCACAGTGGCTCCCCGTAGGTCCAGTTGTTGCCGTTGAGGTGGTATGAAATCTTTAGAGGGAGCCAAATGATGAAGAGCAGGTCAGCCAGAGCCAGGTTGGCCATGTAGATGGATGACGGGTGCTTCTTCTTAGTCCTGAACAGGAAGACCCACACAGCCATTCCATTTGCAGGAAGTCCCACCACAAACACAACGATGTAAACTATCGGGAAGAAGACGGTGGTGAGTTGGCTCTTCAGGGCACTCGAGTCCGACTCTGTAAGAATAACTTGACCTGCATTCTCTGGGTCTTCAACACCTAGATACAATCGACTCCCTAAGAGACAGAACAATAAAACGCATCAGTTAGGATGGAAACCAGACAAGACATTAAAGATAAACTCTAAGAACTTATTTACAAGACAAGGAAGACTTGAAATCTGAAATAGGATCAAGGAGGGGCATTTTTCTGAAGATCTTCCTCTGTATTAGTTTTTTGTCATCAATATAAAAAGATAAGTCACGGACAAATTGATTTATACTGAAACTTTACCAGCTGTAGCTCCAACAACTAACAACAACCTCAGGGAGTCCAGCAACACAAACAATCCCTGAGGTCAAAGAACTGGTCCAGGTCACCGAGTCGTTTTTGACCTTGACTTGTTTTCAGTTAACTTTACTGAACCAGAGCTTTGAAACATTTAACCAACAAGTAATTTTAACCTCACATGAATAATCTTACTTTAGTTAACACTGAGTTGCTTTTAGTAAACGAGCCAGTAAACAAACACACTTACTGTTTCGAGCTGGAGTTGCAGCTGAAGAGCAAGAAAAAAGAAGCAGAAGAGAGAAAATCCTTTTCAGGTCCATGTCAGTGTTCCTGAACTTCACCTGCTCTCAGATCCTGCTCCGAGCACAAACTGCCTCTGATCTCTGGTAAGAGTGAAGGACACACCCCGAGAGTACCTGCACACAGGAAGTGACGTCACGTTTGTCTTCAGGTAGGTTTCCGGGCTCAGGTTTCTATGGTGACCACAAGTCTGAACACGCCCCAAATCATTTAAACGAGTAGAACTGCTCAGGACGCGTCTCTGAGACAAGAAGACCTGCTGCTCGATTCTTGTGGAAGAGTTCTTGATCTCAATGGGGTTTTATCTGGTTAAATAAAGGTTTAATAAAAAAGTAATGTTGCACCAAAACATTAAGGTTTACTTGCATTCTCTGTTCAATTACAGTAAAAAACAGAAAAACACTCATCTCCAGAACTACAAACACTCACTATTCAAATCTATGTAAAACACAAAGGTTTGACATTATGCTTCATGCTGTATTGTTTGTTTGTTTGTTTTTTTACATAAAAAAATGAAAAACTAAAATTAAAAACTAAACTAAATCCATGATCCCAAACCTAAATTTACTTACTACTTAAACTTCTGTAAACATGCATTGTTTACAAACATTAAAAAACTGTTTAGAAAATAACTGTTCAAACTCCTTATACTTTATTTTAGTGGGAGGTATTTATTTAACTGCAAATGTTAATAAAACCTATTTCATCTTCAGCTGTGGGGCAGCACGGTGGTGCAGGTGGTAGAGCTGTTGCTTCTCAGTGAGAGGGTGGCCGGTTCAACGCCCGGCCCAGAAACTTTCTCTATGAAGTTTGCATGTTCTCTTTGTGCATGCATGGGTTTTCTCTGGGTACTCCAGTTTCCTCCCACAGACCAAAAACAGACATGTTAGACTGACTGGTAACTCTAAATTGTCCCTAGGTGTGAGTGAGAGAGTGAATGGTTGTTTGTCTCATTTGTCTCTATGTGTCCCTGTGATGGACTGGACTGGAGACTTGTCCAGAGTGTCCCCTGCCTCTCACACAGTGACTGCTGGATAAGGGCACCAGTGACCCCTGCGACCCGAAAATGAAGAAGCGGGTAAAGATAATGGCTGGCTGGCTGGATGGATGATGGATGGATGGATGGTGGATGGATGGACGGCTGGCTGGCTGGCTGGCTGGCTGGCTGGCTGGATGGATGGATGGCTGGCTGGCTGGCTGGCTGGCTGGCTGGCTGGCTGGCTGGCTGGCTGG